CTCCTGCAAGTGGTCACCAACCAAGACCTTTTCCAGTTATTTGCTGTTTGATGGGTTCTTTCTCTCTCTTTCATATGTATATATATATATATATATATATATATATATAAAATTTTTGAGACAGGGTCCCATTGTGTAGCCCAGGGTGGCCTTGAACTGCTGATTCTCCTGCCTCAGCCTCCTGAGCACTGGCATTTCAGATGTGCCCCCACCATGCCCAGATTCCCCATTGCTGTTTACTCAGCTCAATCATGAAGTGTAAAGGGGTATTTTCTTCTCACTTCTCCCTCCTGGTCTCATCTCTGTTACCCCCTCCCCCTCACCATTTTGGCCCAGAGGAAGAAGAACAGCTGGTGGGATAGGCTGTAGCCCGAGTGTCCGGGTTTGGTCATGAAGGTCCTGCAGAAGTGTGAAAGCCTGCAGGGCTGGCTGCTATCCTTCCTGAGGGAAGCGTCTGGTTGTCAGGCACTGTTGCAGGCCCACCCAGGGTCCGCCCAGCGTGTGAATCCCTGATTGTTAAAACACTAACAGAGAGGTTCCAGGATGGGCACAGAGGTTGTTCAATAAAATACAGGCATCCTGGGTCTTGATTTGCTGAACCTGCACCCCCAGCTCTGGGGCAGTGATGCCAGAGCTGGCCAGGGTTTGGGAGCCACCATGGGGTGAGACTTCTACAGCTCTCACATCTCTCCTGTCGCAGCCCTAAATGGTGGACTCTCGAGTCCAGATAGCACAGGGGCCTGGACACACATGCTCATTCCCTATGACAAGCTTGCCACACAACGAAGGGGCGGGGAGCACGCTCCTATCTGAAGGACACTGAGAAGACAGAGCCGGGGCACCTGATGCCCATCCTGCCCTGGACCACGAACTTGGGACGGTCCTGGGCCTTGCTCCAAGCCACGGAGTTGCTGAATAAAATGGGGATCCAGGCTCAGCCCTGTCCTCCCGGACCCCCATCCCATTGGGGAAGACAGGGCTGTAAAGCAGATATGACTGCATCTGTGGCTACAGAAGTGCAGGGGAGCCCGCCACTGAGGTCAGCCAGCCTTATGTGGAGGTGGGATGGCCTCTGGAGGTGCTGGCTCATGAGTGACTCAGTCTGGCTGGTGACAGTGGGGATGAGGGGAGCAGGTGGGAGGAGCCAAGGCTGGTGGGGGGGTGCCTTTGAGATCATGCAGAGGCCCTTGGGACTGGGAGGTCAGGGCCTGAGGGCTTTATGCTGGGTGTTCGACCAGCTGGTGCCTGGAGGGTGGGGCGGACTGGACTGGTGGCGAATGAGGTGGAAGGCTGCAGATGACTGTGTCTGCCTTTGCACAACTCCTGGATGCACAGAGGGAGTGAGGTGGCCCACCCAGTTCCCAGGAGCTGCACCAGGCACGCATCACTGCTGTCCGCTGGGAAGGAGTCCTGGGGCTCCAGCCAGGGGTAGACCAGGGAAGCGTTGGTTTGGGTCCAGATGTGTGGCAGCTTCCAAAACCTGGGCTGGATGCTTGTCAGGAACTCTGCAGAGGGAGAGGTGGCAGGGGTGGGCAGTGACCAGGACCCTGAGCTCCTGCAGCTCAGGAACCTTGCCCTGAGCCTGGCTTGCTGGCTGGGCACTGAGTTCCAATCACTCCAGATGTTCCTTTTCTTAAAAAAAGACATACTATTTTTCCCCAACCAGAAACAGCACTGGGACAGTCTTTGGCTAGATCCACTGCACCCATAGGAGACTGAGACACAGGAAAAGGGTTCACAGACTCCTGGGTTCAGGCACAGTGGAGCTTTTACAAAACAGATTCCCAGCCAGGGCCTTCTCCCCCTCCCCCCTCCTGCCCCTTCTCCCTCCTGTCTTCCTCATTCCCTCCTTCCATCCTGCATTCTAGACAAGTGCTTTTAACACTGAGTCACACCTCAGCCCTTTTGTTTGTATTTTATTTTTGAGCTATGGTCTTTATAACTTTCCTCAGGTTGGCCTTGAACTCTCAATCTTCCTGCCTCCACCTCCAGAGTAGCTCCAGGGGCTTCTTAGGAAGACACAGGCTGGGTGATGTTAGGGACCAGGTCTCTTCTCAGTTTCTTCATCTGTACAAGAGGGACTGTCCTCTCTTTGGGGTGTGTGGATCCAAGGATTAAAAGAGTACAGAGGGCAAGCGCTGGGTGGGTCCCCTGTGGCTGGGTTGCTGTTTGAAGATGAGGCACCTAGTGACTCACAACCCTGCTCTCCCCACCCCCCGCCCCGCCACACTGGATATGATCCCAGACACAGGGCTGGACCCTTGAGATGCTGGTTTAATATGTGCCCTACCCTTGTCAGGAACAATTCAGGCCAGGCTTATAGGATGGGGCCCTCTGCAGGGTCCTTCATGGCTGGTGGGAAGACAGATGCTTTGTATTACAGAGTACAAGAGAGGGCTGGGCATGGTGGTTCACAGCTATAATACTGGTAGCTACTCAGGAGGAGAAGGTAGGAAGATCATGAGTTCCAGGCTAGACAGGTAAAAGCACTAGACCCTATCTGAAAAACAAACTAAAAACAAAAGAACGGGGGCATGGTTCAAGTGGTAGAGTCCTGGCCTAACAAATACAAATCCCTCAGTTCAATCCCCAGTACTGCCAAGAAAAGAAACAAAACGAAAAGAAAAGGAAAAAAAGTCAGTGTGGTGCTCACACCTGTCATCCTAGCTACTTGGGAGGCTGAGATCAGGAGGATTGATGTTTGAGGCCAGCCAAATTGTTTTGTGAGACTCCGTCCCAAAATAACCAGAGCAAAATGGACTGGAGGTGTGGCTCAAGCGGTAGAACACCTGCTTTGCAAGTGTGAAGCCCTGAGTTCTTTTTTTTTTTTTAAAGTTTATTTATTGGATATTTTACATATATTAACTCATTCAGTTCTTTTTATGGGTGGGTGGTATAGGATTTGAACTCAGAGACTCGTACTGGCTAGGCAGGCACTCCACCAACCCAGCCCTGAGTTCTAAACCCTGGTCCCACCCAAAAAACGAACAAACAAACAGAAAAAGAGAGAGGCTGGCATGAGGTGTGAGGTGAATGGATGGCCTTTCAGATATCCCACCAGAGGTCAGGCCAGGTCACACCTGCCCCTTCTGCCTAGGAAGAAGGCCCCCAAGCTTAGGCATGAGCTGCATGGATGGGGGAGTCACCTGGCTACCTCCACTCTCTGTGTGAGGGACAGAAACCTGGGTCAAGGCCAGGATGTGAGTGGGTCACCTGCAGCTTGGTGGGACTGGTGGCACTCGTGTACCATCCTGACCCTACCTGGTACCAGCAGGAGCCCAGGTGTTCCAGTGAACACCCCAGGGGCTGCCTTCCTGGTGTACTGGCTCCCGCACCTGTGTTGCCTCTCAAGTACACTAGGTCGCTCCGCTTGAGGTAGAAGATGGATCTGTGGAGGAGAATGGACAGGTTGTTGACCAGCTGCCTGGCACGCAGGCTGAGTGGCCGCAGCTGGGGGTCAGGCGTCCACTTGTCCTGCACGCTTCGGAGCTGCACTGAGGGGAGCAGAGGTCATTTTTTCCACCAGTTGACCAAACGTGGACAGGGAAAAACACCTGAGGTTATAACGCTGACCCAGAGTCCCCAGCCCTGGCAGGGGGAGAGTCCCTGAGCTGAATGGAATGAGGCCGTCATGGGTCTCATCTGGACCGTGGTGGGGGGGGGGCAAGAGTGATTGGAAGTGGTGGTTAAGATCTTGACTTCTGGAGGTTGGCCTGGGTTCAAGTGCTGACACTGATACTTTATCATTGGGTGAATGGAGAAAGTCATTTAATTTTTCTTGCTTTGTAGCATAAGAAATTGTACTTCTTAGCAGCGGGGGCAGGTTAAGGATGAAATGAATTAAAATGTAGAGAAGAATTAGCATGTGCACTGTGCAAAGGGAGCACTTAGGAACATTTAGCCAATAGTGCTGACTAGGGAGACTGGCAAAAAGATGGAGGGGTTAGAGCTGGTGGAGGAAGGGGAAGGGACCCTTTGCTCTTAGGGGCATCCACCTGCCTACCTCCTAAGAAATCTTCATGGCCCCCTAAAAGTACTGCAGGCCTCTGCACTGTGTTCTTCTTCTTCTTTTTTTGCAGGACTGGGGCTTGAACCCTGAGCCACTCCACCAGCCCTATTTTTGTGAAAGGTTTTTCAAGATAGAGTCTCATGGAAATGTTTGCCCAGGCTGGCTTTGAACCTCGATCCTTCTGATCTCTGCCTCCTGAGTAGCTAGGATCACAGGCGTGAGCCACTGCTGCCCGGCTTGCACTGCATTTTCTGTGTCTAAGGGGAGTCCTGCCCTGGGGACTTATGATTCCCCTGTCCCTCCCTCCCATCTCTCCCTCCATGTCTCTCTCTCCCCTCCCCTCCACTCCTCTCTCTCTCTCTCTCTCTCTCTCTCTTTCGTATTGGGGATTGAACCCAGGGCCTCACATGAGTGCTTTGCCAGTGAGCTGTGCCCCTGCCCTTTTGTTCTGCATTTTGTGTCTGAGATGGTCTCTCACTGCCTTTTCCTGATCTTGAACTTTCGATCCTTCCACCTCCATCTCCCCCCTGTAGCTGGGATCATAGGCGTGCGGTGTGCCATGGCACCTGGCTCTTATTAATTTCTAAGGAGTTTGAGACAAGACTGGGGTTAGATGAAGGAGACCCTCGCTACATCTCTACTTCATCCTAGTTCTGGCCTGGAGAGGTAGGGGCAGGACCTTGGGGCTCCTTGGATGCTACTTGGAGGAGCCAGGGTGGGAGAGGACATGGAAAGGCTGAGTGGCCTGGCCACTGCCTGCTTACCAGCCTGGGTGGGCAGAGAGCCATATAGCAACCCAGAGAGGGATCTGGGTGATGCCCACTTCCTGAGTCCAGGTGGGCAGAGTGGCCTGTGGGGAGTGCTCATGCAATGCACGTGAGCTTGTGTATGTGCGTGTGTGCATGTGTGGGTGGGTGTGTTCCTGCTTGTCTTGGCTTCTCTCCAGCTCACTCCTTAAGGATCTCATGTCTCTCAAAACTAAACAAACACTTGGCTGTTTTCTCAGCCTCCAGGTGGCTGTGGCTGGAAGTGGAGGGAACCAGGAAGCCTGGTCGAGGGGCCCTGTTTTGTCCGTAGTCACTGAGACACAGGGGGACAGGCCTACCACTAAAACAGAACTAACTCTGCCAAGTGTGTCCAGGAGGTCTTTTCCTTCTGAGAAGATCATTACCAAATGAATCCTCCTGTTGCCTTTAAGTCCTTCTTCCTTCTAAAGTGCTGATAACGCTAGTGGACACCCCCTCCCCATAGCCAAAGCAGGCCATTCTGCCTGGGGGTTGCCTGGCCCAGGGGGGTCAGAGCAGGGCAGGTGGCAAGGCTGAGGACTGCTTTTCCCAGTGGCCTGCCTGGGGGATGCTGGCTCACGCACCTTCCATTACCTGGAACCCCACAGCACCATCCAGGTTGATTCCAGGCAGCATCTTCTGCAGGAACAAGGTGGCTCTCTCCAGAGCAGACAGGACCGCTCCTGTGATGGTGATCCTACCTCGTGTGCTGTCCGGCTGTGGCAGGAAGGACAGCCGCAGCGGTGGGGCCAGCACCAAGAGGCAGTTGCGACCTGGCCATGGTGGCCTTCTGATTGCAGCTGGTCACACAGTGCAGTATCAGGTACTTGCCAGGTGTCTCTACACGCCCTCTTCCTCCGCTCCCTTCTCCCTGGAGACCTACAGACAAGTGGCCTGGCAGGGTGGCAGGGGATGGTCGGGGGCCATGGTAAGGGTCAGGATCAGGCAACTCCTGGAAGTGGAGCTTGCTGGCTGCCCACTGCGGGGAGGAACCACCTGTCCTGCTTGTCTCTGATTGTCCATTATTGATCTAGCAACGGCATTGCTGCTTACACATCCACACGCCCTGGAAAGCAATGCTTTAAATGAGCTTGGCACAAGCTCACTGGAGGGCACACCTGTCTCCCCAAGCTTCCTTACAGGGGCACTGTCAGTGGAGACAGAATTCAAGCTACCAATGCACTTCAAAATCTTCTAGTAGCCCCATTAGAAAAGCAACGAGAGAGCTGGGCGCTGTAGCTTGAGCCTGTAATCCTAGCTACTCAGGAGGCTGAAATCAGGAAGATTGCAGTTTGAGACCAGCCCAGGCAAATAGTTCGTGAGACATCCACCCCCATCTCCAAAATAACCGGAGCAAAATGAACTGGAGATGTGGCTCAAGGGGTAGAGCACCTGCTTTGCGAGGGCAAAGCCCAGAGTTCAAACCCTGGTACTGCCAAAAATAAGTAAATAAAATAAAAAGATTAATTTCCACGTGAGATAAACGAACCCTGCAATATGCACTCTTCAGCTTCCAGCCTTCTTTCTCAACATTAAGAGATCCATTCAAATTCTTGTTTCACTCTATTTTGAAATTATCTTACAACCCTAAAAAAATTGTCCCTAGATCGCAATAACGAAACAGCCTTACTTAAATAAGGGAAAAGTTTAGGGAACTTGACATGGTGTGCGTCACACTCATTCTCGGCCACGGGGGGCGGGGGTTCCTCCACGGTTCCGCGGGGCCCCCAGTTAGGGAACCTCGTCCCGGCCCCGCCTTCTTTCCCCACCGCGGAGCGTCAGTCTGCGGCTGCGCACGGCGCGCAGGGGCCTGCGTCACGGCGTCACGTGGTCGCTGCCGGCGGGCCAAGATGGCGGCGTCCTGCGTGGCGCTGCTGGCTGTGTGCGTGCTGCTGCTGCTGCTGCCGCTGCTGCTGCTGGGCGCGTGGAAGCGCGGGCAGCGGGGGCGCGCGGCCCGGCACGTGGTGGTCGTGGTGCTGGGTGACGTGGGCCGCAGCCCCCGCATGCAGTACCACGCGCTGTCGTTGGCCAGGCACGGCTTCTCCGTGAGCCTCCTGGGCTTCTGCAGTGAGTGCTGGCGGGCCGGGCAGGGAGGCTCTCAGCTGGGTCCCTTTGTCCCACCTCTCGGGGACCTCCCGGAGACTGGAAGGGCCGGTTCTGGCCTGGACGCTGCTTCCAGGGAGCAGTCGGCCTTAACCCTTCACTGCCATATGTCAGGACCCTGCTAAGCGATCCGTTGCAGGGTCCCGCTTAATTTTCCCAGAAGGTGGGAAGACTGGGACCCCAGTGCTGTCAGCCCCGGCTGCCCTCCTCACGGTGTCTCAGCTCACAGGCTGCGGTCTCCTGTCGTTGAGGGAGGGCCTCAGTGCAGACCTCCGCTTTCGGTCGGCTTTCCCCGCAGTGTGCAGTCAGGGCTGTCTCCTCCTTTAATGTAATGCCAGTTGGTGACCCGAGGGGAGGGGGGCCCAACCCCATCTCAGGGAACGTGGGTGGGGCCAGCCCTGATTGCCTTTGGTCCCTTGTGCAAAGTTTGCCATGCCAGGTCAGGGTGGAGTGGGACTGATGTAGACTCCGCCATCTGGGAGTCTAGATCAGTTTGAGTGCCTGCTGTATGCTGGGCTTGGTGTGAAGTAAAGGTGGGTAGGATTTGGTTCCTCCTTCTGTGGGGTTCTGCTGGAATCTGAACAAGAATTGGCTTCATTCTCTGCTCTGGTTGCTGGGGAACAGCATTTTTGAAAAGTTTCATTTTCCAAGCCAGGGGTGGAGTCACATCCTGTAATCTTACCCACTCAGGAGATGCAGGCCAGAGGATAGTGAGTTCAAGGCCAGCCCTGGCAAAGTTAAGGAGAGACCCTATCTCAAAAACAAAATACAAACAAAAGGGCTAGGGGGTGTAGCCCAGTGGTAGAGTGCTTACCTAGCATGTGTGAGGCCCTGGGTTCAATCCCCAGTACCACACACACACACACACACACACACACACACACAAAAGTTTCATTTTCCAAAATCCTCTTCACTGTTTATCCTGAGTTGAAGTGGAGATTATCTGATTTTAAATTTGACTATCACATCTGGTACATTAAAGGGACACTCTCATTTTCAGACTCCAAACCCCATAATGAGCTCTTGCAGAATGACAGAATTCAGATTGTGAGGCTGGCAGAACTTCAATGCCTTGCAGGTAGGACACAATTCCAGATTCCTCTGACTGGTGTGTCTGGGAGGGTGGGAACCTGCATTGCCAAGAGCTCCTTTGGTGGTAACAGGCATTTTCTGACTTGCAGTTGGGCCCCGAATTCTCCAGTATGGGGTCAAAGTTGTATTTCAAGCAGTGTACTTGCTGTGGAAACTGATGTGGAGCGAGCCAGCGGCCTACATCTTTCTCCAGGTACATGTCACGTCTGCCTCCCTCTGTAAAGACTGCTCTTAGCAGTTTTAAAGATGTGCGGATTGGGCTGGGGGTATAGCTCAGTCATGCCCTGGTTTGATTCCCAGCATCGCACACACAGGAAATGCACACATTAATAAGTTGCATGTTCGTTTGTGTGCATAAATTTTAAAAGACATGAGAAGGAAGTAGGGTATGTGTTCGCTGTATTTATGACACCATCCTATTCTTTTCCTGTGTCCTGGCACATAGAATCTTTTTGAGTAGAACTGGGGTTTGAAATCAGGGTCTCATATTTGCTAGGCAGGTGCTCTACCATTTGAGCCACTCTGCCAGTCCTTTTTTATGTTGGGTATTTTTGAGATAGGGTCTTGTGAACTATTTGCTAGGCTGGCTTTGAACCACAATCCTCGTTATCTCTGCCTTCTGAGTAGTTCGAAGTACAGGCATGAGCCACTCAGTCTTAACGCCTGGCTCAGTCTTAGCATTGTACTTACTACATATCTAAGTGTTTTACACAGATTACCTCACTTAACCCTGTAAGAACCCCAAGGAGTAGGTTCTTTTGGGGTGTGTGTGTGTGAGGAAGGGTCTCTCTGTGTAGGCTGACTGGCCTACAGCTCTTGATTCTCCTTCAGCCTCTCCAGTGCTGGGATTACAGATGCAGACCACAACACCTGGAAGGAATAGGTTGTTGTATTATGTGTATTTTAGAGGCGAGGAAACCAGACGCAGAGAGGTTCTAAAAGTAGCTAATGTCACAAAGCTAGGATGTGATGGTTAGGATTTGAACCTGAATAGGTAGTCTGGCTGGTTCTAGAGTTAAGTTTTTCTTTTCTTTTTTTGAGATGGTCTTGCTATTGTAGCCTAGCCTGGCAGTGAACTCAAGATCCTCCTCACTCTCCTGAGTGCTGGCATTACGGGTCTGTGCCACTATACCCTTCACTGATTTTTTTTATGTCTAGAAGCACTTTCTGGGGATGTGGCTATGTGGCTTAAGTGGTAGAGCACCTGCTTAGCAAGCACAAGACCCTGAGATCAAAACCCAGTACTGCCAAAAAAGGAAAAAAGTTAGCAGTCCCTTCTCTTAGTGGACAGCACTGACTTCCAGAATGTACGGTAAGGTCTCTCATCCCGACAGCCGTTCAGATTCTTTTTGACTTTTTTTTTTAATCTTTATAAGTAGTATAGCCAGGAGCTCAGGGAGCACACACCTGTTGCTTGGTCCACTTTCTTCTTTAGGATACAGTCTTGGGAGTGGAATTGCTTGGCCAAAGTTTCTGCACTTTGAAAATGTGGTGTGTGACTGGCTGGCCTCAGGGCAAGTCTGAGCCTGTGTCCTCCCACCCCTTGGGGGTGCCTCTTCTCCATGTCGGCCATCACTAGCTGATGATGGGGAAACAGCATCATTTTGATCCATTTTTCATGTTCTTGATTATTGATAAGCTTGGATTTTTCAAATTGGTCAATTCTGTTTCATTTATGACTCTTTTTGGAGGCAGGATCTCTGTAACCCAGGCTGTCCTCCAACTTGCGATCCTTCTGCCTCCATCTCCTGAGTGCTGTGATTACAGGTATGAATCACCACACCAGCTTTCAGTGGTGACTACACCTTTTTTGGGCAGCGGAGAGGGTCTTCTGCTCATTGGTTATCCAGAGTTCTGTAAAAATAACAGTCTCACTGGGTATGGTGGTGCACACCTGTAATCCCAGCACCTGGGAGGATCATGAGTTGAAGGTCAGCCTGGGCTACAGAGCGAGATCCTGTCTCAAAACAAAAACCAAAAAGGATGTTGCCAAGGTAGCTGTCTCTGCCCTGTGTGCTGCAGCTCCTCACTCAGGTTATTGTGGCCCACGGTCTGAGCTGCCTCCCCTGCTTCTCCATTTCTCTCTTGCAGAACCCCCCGGGCCTGCCTGGCATTGCTGTCTGCTGGCTTGTGAGCTGCCTTTGCGGGAGCAGGCTGGTCACTGACTGGCACAATTATGGCTACTCCATCATGGGCCTGGTGCATGGCCCCCAGCACCCTCTTGTTCTGCTGGCCAAGTGGTGAGAGCCTGCGGGAGGTGAGGGCCTCCCCTAAACCTCGTCAGGGTGAGTGGGGAGGGGGAAGGCCGGGCCCGGAGCAGGACAGTCCTAGGTCACACTGAACCTGAGTGTAGCTTGGTGTGAATGTCCAGCCTCAGGCTGCCCTTGCCCTGCTGGCCTTGTTCATTGGCAGCGGTGACAGCAGTGTTAGCAGCCCCTAACAGTCTGAGCGCCTGCTGTATGCACCTGTGCGTCACGGCTGTGCCTGTATGTATCTGCCCTGGTGAGGGGGCTCTGTGATTACTGACTTTGTCAAGTCCACGGGCTGAGGATGACACCTCTTGCCACACAGTCTTGGGCAGTCCCATTCTAGAGCCTTCCTGGTATCCCAGTGTTCGGAGGGAAGGACGTTAGGTCCAGTTCTCTGTGATCAGGCCTCTGCCCTTGGCTGGAGCCAGCCTATCTTTCATGTCTCCCTTACAATTGTTACACACCATATTGACAAGCCACACCTTTGTGACAGTAGCGAGGATGTCTGAGATGTGGCTCTGAGGTCTTTGTTGCATTTCTTTTTGTTGTGAGAGAGACTGGGTTTTCACTTGGGCAGTGGTCCCTGGATTCCTTTTAAAGTAACTGCATTTTAAGTAACTGCTGAAAAGTGACACCACATAAGAGAGGTATGGAAAAGTGCAATGGGGGAGCAGGTGGTGCTCGGATGGAGCCAATACTGGCAGGTCTGGGTGACCCCAGCTCTGCAGCCTCTTATATTGAGGGTTGTTGTCACATAGAGCTTTTGGTGGCCTGTGGGGCCAGCCCGGGGATCTGTGCTCATCCTGAGATGTCTCTACAGGTATGAGAAGCTCTTTGGGCGCCTGTCCCACCTGAACCTGTGTGTCACCAATGCAATGCGGGAAGACCTAGCAGAGAACTGGCACGTCAGGTACCGAGGGCCTGGGACGTCCTTCAGCCTGAGGGTTGTGTGGGGCCCCAGGACTGGTCAGGAGCTGCAAGGCCCACTCTGTTGGCGAGACCCAGTGCCTGGTAGGTGGTTATGGGCTGGGAAGCTGCAGGAGGCAGTGGTGGGGTTTCTTCACACCTGGCTGGACATCCAAGCAGTTGGTGCTAAAATACTTACGCTCTTTCCCAAGCAATTCTAAAGCTTATTGTTGGGCTCCCCAGGAACCATTGTATTTGAGGATCCTCTGGGTCCTCTATTAGGTCTTTCTCTGCCCCGCCTCCATCTCTTTGCAGGGCTGTGACCGTCTATGACAGGCCGGCATCTTTCTTTAAGGAGACACCCCTGGACGTGCAACACACGCTCTTCATGAAGCTGGGCCGCACGCACTCCCCTTTCCGGACGTGGTGTGTCCCCTGCTTCCTCATGTGGCTTTTCCTCTTTCCTCTTGCAGACCTGGGGCCTACTAGTGCAGAGGGTGGCAAACTAAGGCTGTGGCCCACTGACTGTGTGAATAAAGTTTTATTGGAACACAGTCCAGTCATTCATGTGCATGTTGGCAGTGCCGCTTTTGGAACCTAGAACAGGTGGCCGGCAAAGCCCCAAGCATTTACTCCCCTGCTGTACAAAGAGGTGATGATGAGGGCTGGTGCTGAACCAGCTCTGAGTGGCGTGTTTGCTGGTGCAGCCTCAGAGCCTAGCAGCAAGCCCCCCTTGTGTGGGGCTGCTGGGTGCTGATGTGGCTGGGAGCCTGCAGGCCTCGCTGGAGGGAGATGGCCATCTTGGCCCTGGGTTTGTTCTGCAGCAGCTCACCGGCTTTTTTGTGCTCCTGCAGCTCAGAACCCTTGGATCCAGCCATAGAGAGATCGGCCTTCACGGAGAGGGATGCTCGGAGTGGGGTGGTGACACGTCTTTTTGGTCGGCCAGCGCTGCTGGTCAGCAGCACGAGTTGGACAGGTCTGTCCCCTCCCCCCCACCTGGGGGCTCATGCCAAGCAGGCAAGCTCACCTTCGCACGCCAGGGAGAAAGGGGCAGATGTATGAGCAGGGAGGGATTGTCTGGAAGCTGGCCTGTGACCCACTCTTTTCTCCCCACAGAAGATGAGGACTTCTCCATCCTGCTGGCGGCATTAGAAAGTACGTGTGTGGCCGGCTTGGTGGCTCTGGGCTTGCCAGGTCTGCAGTGCATTTCTGCCCCGAGCCATGGGGAGGGTCAGCCTGTGGGTGGCTCTGTATCCCTATGTGGGTGACTGAATGACCAGGCCCTGGAAAGTGCCACAAAGACTGGTGGCCTTGCCCTCCCTCCCTGCACTTGCTTAAGATGATCCTGGTTAGTGTTTACTTTATGGTGGGATTGGGCTTGAACCTGGGGCTTTGCACATTCTAGGCAAGCTTTCTATTACTTGAGCTGCTCCCCCAGCCCCAACATGTTTGTTTATTTTATTTTATTGTTTTTGTGGTACCGGGGTTTGAACTCAGGACCTACATCTCAAGCTACTCCACCAGCCCTTTTTTGTGGTGGGTGTTTTTGAGATAGGGTCTTACAAACTATTTGCCTGGGCTGGCTTCGAACCGCGATCCTGCTAATCTCTGCCTCCTGATTAGCTGGGATTATAGGCACGAGCCGCCAGTGCCTAGCAATGTGTTTATTTTTTTAAACAGAGTTTGAACAACTGACCCTCAGTGGGGACAGCCTTCCTTCCCTAGTCTGTGTGATAACAGGTACCACTGGGACCCTCCATGGGTTGTATTTGGTGCGGGGGAGGGGTAGCGGGGAGAGGGAGGCACGAAGCCTCTTCCAAACACCTTGCACATGACAGCATCTTGTTAATCCTCATGCCAACTGTCCAGCAGGCTTTCTACACTCGCTGTATGGGGAAACTGAAGCTCAGAGGGGCCTCATGGCGGGGTATGGAGTCCAGACTTGAATCTTGGGTGGCGTGGACTCAGAAATACTGAGCTCCCACCCTCCCAGTGGCTTTCCAGTATCTTCTTAGTTGTAAAAGCCAAGCGCCCTCTGTCAGGCACAGAATGGCTCCCTGGTCACAGGGTGACAGAAGCAGCAGTGGCTGGAGGAGGGTTGAGCAGCTGCCCAGTCCTCACTTTCTTCCTCCTAGCATGGTATTCACACGCCTGCAGTGCCCCTTGGAGAGCCTGGTGGGCAAAGGGCAGTCACTGTGCCCTGCACTTGGACAGACAGAGCCATGTCCATCTGGTCAGCACTCGTGTTTACCCTCGTCCCGTTCAGTGCCAGAGCCAGTGGCTGCAGAACTTCTGAGGTCGACTCTGGAAGGGCCCGATGGGCTTGACTAGGGCCGTGGGAGGAGGAGGGAGTTCTGGGAAATGACCGCGTGTCCCAGCAGACACTGGGCCTCGGGCGTGTGGCGGGGAAAAACACGTCCTTGCAGCACCTGCTTTTCTCTGCAGGCAAGGGGCCCCTGAAGGAGCACTACAGCCGCCTCATTGACAGCAAGTGCTTCCAGCACGTCCAGGTCTGCACGCCGTGGCTGGAGGCTGAGGACTATCCCCTGCTGCTAGGTGAGAGGCCCCTGGGACAGGCACACTTTCTAAAAGTAGCCAGATAGGGGAGGTTTTACTGGCTACCGTGGTGTAGTCTTTCACTATTTTTAATGTTTAGAAATGTAAAAGATATTCCCAGCTCTGGGACCATACCTGGGCAGGCCTTAGGCTGGACTGGGCTGTGCTTTGGGGGCTGGCCTGCTTGGACCTCCCCTGGACTCCTGAGCATTTCCTGATGTACTGGCTCCATAGACCTGGGGCCCCGAGGACTCTAGCCAGGGGCTGAGTCAGGAGCTCTCAGCCTCCCAGGCCCTCATTCAGTCCTGCTGTCTGTGTAGTTTGTTTGCAGAAACCCAGGGCCGGGGCTGGGTTAGGACCTGCCTTCCCCAAGTGCAGGTGTTTGGGAGCATGGTCTCCCTCCTGTCTCTGCTCACAGACTTGGTACTGCAGTGTCCCTGAAGCCTCATCTCCCAGCAGCAAGTGAGCCGGCTCACCATCATTTATTTGACCTGATTTACCAGAGGCAGCTATTGTTTTCTTGGATCTGCTGTGGGTTTTTCTTTTCTTTTTTAAAATTTTTCTTCTCATGATTTGTCATTTTAACCATTTTAAGGGTTCAGCAAGTGACATTAGTGACATTCACAAAGCTGTGTGACTGTCACTGCTCTATGTCCAAACCTTTCCATCACCCCAAACAAACTCCATCCCTGAGCAGTAACTTCCTGGGGACTCTTCTTTTAAAATAAATTGTGGCTAAGTGGGAAGTTGAGTCAGCGTGCATCAAAACTAACTGCGAAGCAGGTTCTGAAGCAGGCTCTGACGGCCTACCAGGCCCGGGGCCAGTGCAGCTGTGTCTCTGCCCTACCAGGCCCAGGGTTGGCATCAGCCACTTGGGTGTGGGGACACTCTCAGGGACATTCCCATTTCCGTTCCCTGAGGCAGGAGTGGTCACACAGGTCTGGGCAGACATGGCCCCGCACACTGACACTTCTCTCCCCCCCCCCCCCAGGCTCAGCAGACCTGGGTGTCTGTCTGCACAAGTCCTCCAGTGGCCTGGACCTGCCCATGAAGGTGGTGGACATGTTTGGGTGCTGCTTGCCTGTGTGTGCCGTAAACTTCAAGTGGTAGGAGTGGACACCGAGCCTTCCTGGGGCAGGCTCCAGATCAGTGGCTGAGGAGGCCAGTAGTGTAGCCAAGTGAAACGTCCTGCTGGGTGCTGCTTCCCCCACCCCCAGTCCAGGGTGATGGAGAGGAGGTTCCTTGTGGTCCCTGAGGTTGGCCTGAGTCTCACTGAAATAGGTGGTCCTCCATATCCATGGTTTCTGTGTCTGTGGATCCAACCAGCCTTGAATGGCTGGTGATGACTGCGTCTGTACTGACCTTTACAGACCTCCTGTCATTCCATAAAGGACTCGGTGCAAACTATGTATATAGCATTTCCATGGGGCGTTAAGTCATCTAGAACAGATTCTAAAGAATAGAGTGCTGGGTACGATGACTTACACCTATAATCCCAGCTACTTGAGAGGTAGAGATTGGGAGGATCATGGTTTGAAGCCAGCCCGGGAAGACAGTTAGAGAGATCCCATCTCAGTCAATAAAATGTTGGGCTTGATGGCACACGCCTGTCATCCCAGCCAAGTGGGAAATGAAAATAGGGTCATGGTGTAGGATGGCCTCTGCCAAAAACATGAGACCCTCCCTGAAAATAACTAAAGCAAAAAGGTCTGGGGGCGTGGCTCAAGTGGCAGAGTGCCTGCCTAGCAAGCACAAGACTCTGGTTCAAATCCCAGTACTGCTAAAAAGAAAAAAGGGGGTGGAAAGATAGGCAGAGGCTGCTTGTCCGCCAATACCAAGTAGGCACCTGAAATGAGTCCTTGGTGGATGCTGTGGGACAGTGGCTTCTGTTTAGAGTGAGTGTTGAATGAAGTATGAGTCCTAAGCACAAGCACTCAACCCGAGGCTGGCCTCCCAGGACGGAATGGCGGTGGACTTGACTCATGGCCGGTTGTCCCATACTATCCGTCCTGTGTCCTCACCCCCCCCCCCCCGCCCCACCAGGGGCTGGGCTCTGGATGTGAAGTTGATGGTATGAGACCCCCATGTGCACCAAGCTTGGGGTCTGTAGGATCCAGTTTCACAGTGACCCTGAAAAGTATGCAGACACAGAAGGGCCCAGTCCCAGTTAGGGCCCAGTATTTCCTCGGTCAAAGGCCCAGTCTCAGAGCACTAAGGCCAATTGGCCATCCCTGTCCCCGGCTTGGCCTGAGCGGGGAGGCTGGATCTCCTCTCCAGTGGCTCTCAGGCGCCCTTGGTTCTCTCTGCAGTCTACATGAGCTTGTGAGGCACGGAGAAAATGGCCTGGTTTTCCAGGACTCAGAGGAACTGGCGGCTCAGCTGCAGGTAAGGTAGCTGGCCCTGCTCCAGGGGCAGCCATGGTGGAGGGAGAGGGGAGGGAGCAGAGGTCAGAGGTGCCCACTGTGCTGTCAGCTGGCCCCCTGGGTCATCACACAAAAAAGATGGATACTGACAGCCCTTTAGAGGGCAGCAGGTCAGGGGAGAGTGTGGGGGGTAGGGGCCGGGGGCTGAGAGGGCATTGTGGCTCAGCTTCGAGACACGTGGAATTCTGCCAGGACACTTGATTTTTGTCACAAAGAGAGTGCACTGCCATTCCTGCTTTTTTCTTTTTTTCCTTTCCATCTTAACAGTTTTAAAAAAGTGGTGTGTTTATTTATTGTGGTACTGGGGATTGAACCAGGGCCTTCCTTGTGCTTGCTAGGCAGGTGCTCTCTGACTTGGGCTGAGCCCCACTTCAGTCCTCCCATGAGTGAGGAAATTGATGTGAAGCGTGGGCAGCTGGGGTCTGAAACGAAGGACCTGGTGCTGGGTGGGGCAAGATGTTAAGCTCAGCCCAGGTCTGTTTTTCTGTAGATGCTTTTCTCAAAGTTCCCTGACCCTGTGGGCAAACTGAACCAGTTCCGGGAGAACCTCCAGGGGGCAGAGCAGCTTCGGTGGGACGAGAGCTGGCAGCGGACTGTGCTCCCGCTGCTGATGGACACGTGACCTGGGGACCAGAGATTGCTGAGTGAGTCATGCTGGGTAGTGCCACCCTGAAGCCTGGAGCCAGCATCCACCCTCTGTGTACCACTGGTCCTTCGGTAGCCTTCGACTGCCCCCCAGTGGTCAGAGGCCAGAAGGACAGCAGTGGATGCTGCCTGGGTCACTGCTCCATCCAAACCCAAAGGCCAAGACTGCTCTTTCCTCCTGATCTCTGCCTCCTGAGTAGCTAGGATTATAGGCATGAGCCATTGGTGCTTGGTTGCTTCTCTTATTTCTTGTGACCTCAATGTCTCTTCATCCCTGAGTTTTTTGTCTTCTCCCTCATCAGGTTCCTGTGTTCTGGTGCCAGCCTTGGGACCGGGCCCTGCTGCACTAAGTGCAGGCTGGGAATGTATAATACACCGTGTTTGTCTGTGAGCCTATGTGCATTCCTGGTGATCTTACGAGCCAGAGCCGCTGAGATGGGTACCATGCACTTGGTCTGCACTGTATTGAAGCAGCTGGTGCTGCCCAGCTCGGTGTTCAACATTCTTCAAATTCTCAGGTGCAGGGGAGGCGGCAGCTTCCCACACGAAAGCCCGTCCCAAGGCAGCGAAGTGCTGGGAGCCTGCGGCGTGAGCTTCAGGATCCCCAACTCCGAGTGCTCTTCGTAAGGGAACAGCTTCCGGGCGTGAGGGGACACCACTTCCCAGCTGATCCTAGCTTGGCCTGGAACGGCATGCTGGTCTCAGTGTTGGTGACAGGACAGGTGTGTCTCACCTGCTTTGCTGGGATCACAGATTGCCAGGCCCCACACATGCCCAGAGTCAGCCTCTAGGGTGGGACCAGGAATCTGTGGTGTTAAACAGGTGACAGTCCTCTGTGACCACCTCCTCCCACCAAGCCCAAGTCCTTGTCACTCTGCACCTGTCCACCTGCCAATCGCACATCTGCAGGGCTGCTGGGCCGGTGCCACTCCTCACGAAGGCCAGGATGGCGCCTCAGTCATGGTTTGCTACACGTCAGTATTTATAAAAATGAAGTAGTGCAGACAGACGTGTGGAAGGCGCTAATCCCACCACCAAAGTAAAATGCTGCTAGTGGTGTGTTCTCGAAATTTCCCCTAGCTGTGGTAACAGCCACCCAGCATGGTGCCAGCAATGAGACCGGCTGTGAAACACAGTAGGGCAGCGGGGCACAGGCCTCCCACTGCCTGCTCACCAGCGCTTGCCCTGTGTGGACTCCTGGCATGTCGTGTGGGTTTGGGACTTCCTAGCTGTTCCCAGGCCTGTTCTTCCCCCATTTCTACCTCTCTTGAGCCACAAAGGGACAGTTTGGTGGCCTGCAGGCCAGGGGCTCACCCAGCTCGGTGGTGAACAGCTGGTAGGTCTCTGGGTTGCGCACGGTGAAGGCCACGTAGATGTCAGGAGTGTGGTCTGTCCGGCAGGCCGAGAGCTTCTGCAGGACCCTGACCAGTGAGAGGGTCACTTCCGGGCAATACAGCACATCTACAGTGAGAGCCCTGGGTTACCTGAAGGGCCTCCTGCAGGATTAGGGTCCGGGTGGTGGCCTCTGGGTGGGTCTGTCTTCAGCAGCAGTGGTGTTAATTTGTGCTGACAGAAAATTGCATGGAGAGAGAGAGGGAAAGGCTTGGGAGAGAGATGGCTAAAGGACCCCCTGGGCTGCAGGAGTCCCTGAAGGCTCAGTTCTCTGCCTCTCTATCTTCATAGAACACACTAAGGGAAGCAGACCCTGCCTCTGCCTGGACTTTTTCTAGGGACCTGCTAATGTGTCAACTGCAGTGTGGCCCTGGCTCCTGGAGCCTATCATGTCCCCAGCTGCTGAAGGGTGCAGGCTGAGGCCAGCACTTTGGAGCCAGGGAAGGCATGAGGGGCTTTTGGCGGCCCAGCCCAACAGTGCCTTCCTTCAAGGCCCTGTCCTTGTGCCAGACAAGTGTGGCTCTCTCCATGGTCTCTGAAACACATGGAACGTGGACCCAGGGACCCAGGTCACAGATGTGCAGGTGGGGCTGGCTAGCATGGTGTCAGCAGCTGTACACAGAACAGACAAGCAGCGCTGACTGGTGGGGACTGCTCAGCTCTTGTGAGTTGACTTCAGCCTGGCCTAGGACTGGATGCTGGTGATGAGTGGGACATGGCTAGGAAAGTCATACTATTCTGTGGCCTGGGAAGGACCAAGGGCTGCTGTGGTCAGTTCTGGGCCCATCTAAAGCTCTTGGGGATGCCTGGTGGTGAGATGTGGGTGGAGGGGCTGGTACAGCCCCTACTGGGAGCTGGGTGGGAACTGAGCAGTGGTCTCCCTGGGTCACAGGGGATATGAGGTGGGCCGCAGGAGCTGCTGGCAGGCTGATGGGCTGGGCTGGTGTGGAGCCCTGGGCTCTTGTGTCCATTGCAAGCTGTTGGGACAGCCAGGCTCATGATAAGCCACTATAGTGGGAGCCTTCTGTCTTCAAATGGGCACCTGGAGGCCCATTTGACACTTGGGGAAGCCCTGTCAGTTCCTGCCTGCATACCCACTGCTCCGCTATCCCAGAGAGACAACCGCGGGAAGCCACCTGCTCAGCCTGTGGGGCTGGGCATCACCTGCTGCGATGACAATGTCTGGCTGGAAGGCAGACAGCTGAGGGACTGTGGCGACGTCCCAGTCCAGCTGGGCCACCGTCACCAGGGGGCTCTCTGGGTTCACAGCAGCATCTGGCTCTGCTGAGAAGCCATTGAGAGCCACGTTTCCTCGCAGCTGTTGCAGCACACGGCTGTGGCAGTCGCTGAAGACGTACGCTCGGGGGTGGCACATCTTGCAGATGGCCAGGCCTGTGAGGCCGGCTCCACTGCCGAGCTCCAGGACAGTCCTGGGGGAGAAAGGGGACCCTGTGTCTGTTGGCTGCTCCAGGGCCAACCTGCCATGGTGCCCCACCTTGTGTCCTGAGCTCACCTCTGAGCAAAGGCTGCTGGGTTCTCCACGGCCCACTCTGCAAGGTAGAGGGCAGCATCCCATGTCACCAGGCCTGTGGTGCCATGGGACACCATGGCTGTGCTCTCAGCGAGGGTGACCGAGGCTCCTGAAGGCTGCAGGAAGACGGGGTGGGACAGTTAACCCCAGACCTGAGCACAGCAGCCTTGTTAAGTTACAACAGGTGGGTGGCCAGACAGACTGTCATGTGCCCCCCCAGGGGATACTGTAAAGGACAGGAGTAGACTGCTGACACACCACCACTGGGAGATCTCCAGTGCATCGTGCTGGCTGGGACACCAACATCAGGTCCCTGGCATTCTGAAGTGACACAACTATAGAGCTGGCCGTTGGGGAGGAGGGTGCCCGTCTCCTACCAGCAAATAGCTCCGGTAGCACCGAGTGGACTCCTTGGCTGTCAGGACCTCTGCCAGTGCCTCGTACAGCTCGTCTAAAGGCTCCGTGTGGACAGCCTCATGCTGGGGACGAACAGAGCCAGAACTTCAGCCCATAAATGACACCCAGAATTCTGCCTATTGGGTTTTGCTCCCATCTGAAAACAGGGCTGGGTGATTGTCACATTTCCAGTGCTGGGGATAGAATCCAGGGCCTCACACACACTGTGTCACCCTGGCCTGACTTTCATCACATGTAGAGAGGAGATTTGGCATTAAAGGATGTGAGAGAGAAATCTAACAAGGTGGGGGGATGTAATCTAGGCAGCAGGCATGTCCCCCAGACTGCCAGGGACAGAGAGAAAGCATTGTCAGTCTCAGATAAGAGGATGTATCTGTGAGTTTCAGCCACAGCCACCAGGTGGTACTCCATGATGTAGGGGTGGATTTCCAGCGACCTCTTGGTTTCACGGGGCAGGGGTGGGCTCATCTGATGGCCAGCCATGCTTCTGGTGGTTCTGGGAGGCCCCAGATTACTTGTGCACTGAGCCTGGCAAGGTGAGGCCCTTCCTTTCTGTCAGAGGCTGGCTGACACAGGCCTGCACTGCCCAGGGAGGAATCACCTTTCTGATGTCTAAGATAGAGCCCAGAAGGTACGGGTTCCTCCTTCAGATGCATCTGCCCCAGCCAGGCAAAGGGACTGCCCAGATAGCTGGTTGGAAAGGTAGAGAGAGAGAGCTTAAACTTCCTGAGAGGCCAGTGTGCCATCTGAGGTTGGCAGGAGCCAGGTCAGAGTGCGCTGGGCTGCAGGACCAGGAGGCAGCTTCCAGCTTTCAAGCGGGATGCCTGGTGGGAAGAGAACCTGTGCAGTGGGGGCAGGGCCCAGAGCAGATGCAGCTGCCACTGAGAACCCCCGAAACAAGTGAGGGAGAAAGGCCTTGGCCTCCCCTTTCTTGCTCTGCTCTGCCTCCTGTGGGGCCGATCCTGGAGGCAGTCACCTGTGTAGGGTGGTCTCTGCCACAGGGCTTTGCAGAACAGACAAAGGGCAGGGAAGGTCGGAGCTCCTAGAGGCCAAGCCCTGGTAGGGGACCCTTCTGGAGAGTGGGCCGGGTCCCCGTGAGGTCCAGCCTGGCAGCCTCAGCCCATCACTGACCTTTTTGATGAGCTCTGACAGAAAGCACCGGGTGTACTTCACCGATGGCGGGTGCCTTGCACACACGGGATGTCTCACCGTCTACCACAAAGCACAAAATGGTTGCTGGAGAGTGTCCTGCAGGCTTCAAGTGATTACAGGGGACTGCTACCCAATGCCTTGCTAAGGACACAGAGACACGGGGTCATGTGGCCTGGGCACCTGTGAGTCTTAAGATACAGCTCTTTCTTCAAAATGTGTCACTGCAGCGTTTCTAACTGGCTTGGACAGGAACACGGCACAGAGACTGCAGCCCTCCGCTTCCAGGTGTCCCCTGGGAACCAGAACCTGCGTATGGCTAAGCATAGAACTGTCTGCTCCATGGAAGAAGCAAGAGCCCAGAGGGGAGATACAGGCCTGCTGCACATCTCCCCTGGTGTGTGAGTTCCAGGTCCAGGAGTGGGTAGGAGACAGGCAGGAAGCACTATGGAAGGGGCCAGGGCCCTGCCTGGGACACGGTGCAGAGGAAGGGCCTCAGCACAGGCCAAACCAGAGCTTTGCCACGCCAGAGCAAACTCCAGGTTGGGGAGTGACTTGCACTAGGGCCAGGTGTCCCAGCTGGCATCCTGGAAAGAGTGGGGGACAAGAGCAGGGGGTGGGAGTTGGGAAAGAGCCTGGAGGGAGAGGCAGCCTGTAGGCTGGGAGGGTCACAGCCTACAGCCCTGCAGGCCGTCACTGGCCCATTAGAACCTCCTCTGGCTTTCCTTAGGCTTAATTGATGATCAACAGTGTTAGGTTTTAAGCAGCTCACTCTACATTTCCTGGTCTGCCACCCTTGGGTCACAATCAACATCAGTGATGTCCTGCTTCCAGCCCCATCCACTGCCTCACTCTGTCTCCCTCACCCCACATTCCTGATGGAGCAACCTGGTAGGCTTGGTGGTTGGGGGCCAGTGCCTGGGCCCCGACTGAATTTGTACGCAACATGTATTCTTCTGGTATGATTCTTCCTGGGGAGAGGGACCACACCTTTGGCCTTCCTTAGGAAGGTGAAGGTCCAGGACCCAGTGTGACCTGCCCTTGACCACCGTGGCCAAGGTCAGGGTGGTGCCAGGCCAGCTTCTAGAGACCCCATAGGCACATGCACTTTAGAGTTCAAATCCCCCTGTGCACAGCAAGGACCTGTCTATGGGAAGACAGGCTTCCTTATTTCTGTCTCAAATGCAAAGAAGAAAGTCTCTAAGCAGCTGATGAATTCGGGAAGCCGCTCCACACCTGTCATGTTTTCACTGTGGATGGTTAAAACACATCCCTGGCTTCTCACCTCTCCTGCGGAGTTTTGTCTGGCCTGATGTCTTCATCTCAAAGAACACAAGAGCTGTCTGGGGCCATAGGCAGAGTGTTTTGTTCTTTGGTTCTTTGGACATGGATGATGATCTCAAAGGATACAAGCACACCTGTGGCTCTTCTGCCAGGTTTTCTCAGGCAGGTCACGCAGCCAGGTGATGGGTCCCCACTGGATTCTTACCTTCTGCAAGATATCCAGCAGCAGCTCAGAATCCGATGAGCTTCTTAGTTTCTCTTCTAGGCTCTGTTCAGAAAAGAGAAAGAGAAATCTCAAGGGTGTTTTCTCAGGAACACTAAACCTGCAGTGGCATGTGTGAGCACGCAGTAGGACGCTTAGGAAAAGCCTGAGCTATCTCTCCCTGGGGCCAGATGGGAGTGGGACCCACAGAGGCTGAAGCGTGACCTCCAAGTGTCACAAGCCACTTCTGGATGAGCTGTGGACTCTTGGTTCTCATTGGCCCTGGCTGCTCAGCTGGTCACAGCATTTCTAGGGCTAAGCTGGTGGTGACTGGGAACCAAGATGAGCCATGGTATCAAAGCTCAATGGATTGATCTGGGACCTGCCATCTGAGTTAGAGAGGAGCCTGCAGTGTGCAGGGGCCAGGCCTGCTAACGATGTCCTCTTTTACAGGGCACTTGAGCCCAACAGTGAGCTTAGGCTGAGTCAGGGCTGGTATGTGACACAGGGTACTTCACCATGCCCTAAAATGCCCTCCAAGACCTGGCCCTGGTCCTGAATCCTCTCTCTGACCTCATCTCTGTCCCATTCTGTTCATTCCACACTAGCTGCCGTTCTGGTCCTTAACTATGGCTGCTGTATTCCCACCACAGGGTCTTTGCACTTTCTGTTCCCCAGGACAGGCCAGTGGCTGACAGCTTCTGGTTCAAATCCTGCCTCTTCCCCGATTCTACTACTCTGATGAACTTCCCACCAGCACAGCAGTGCATTTTCCCTTTCCCTGTTCACCTGGCTTTGTGGCTTTAGTCTCATTTCCTGGCATTTTCTTTTTGTTTTTCAGTGGTGCTGGGAGTTTGAAGTCAGGGCTTTGCACTTGCTAGGCAGGTGCTCTACCACTTGAGCCATACCTCCAGCTTCCTGGCATTTTCTTGTTGAATCATGTATTAATTCTCTGGCTTGCTCATCTGAGCAGGGCCTCATCTATAATGTGTACTTCTGATCCCTGGCTCAAGGAAAACATTCAGTAAACATTTGGTGACTAAATCAAAATCCTAGCTAACACTTTCGTACACCTACCGTGAGCTAGGCACTGATTCAAGTAATTCTGACAACAGCTCTTTGAGGTTGGTATCATATCTCCCACTTACTAATTGAAAATGATAGCACAGAGAGATGCGATCACTTGCCCAAGGTCACACAGCACCTTGATCCAAGATTCAAGGCAGGAAGCCTGTCTCCCTGGCCGGAGTTCTCAACTACCTCATTGTGCTCTTTTCCTCATTAAACCTCTCTGGTCAAAATGAATGACAGTGAAAGACTCCAGCGCACGGGTGCTGTGGGTGAATTCGTGTAAGCGTTTAGCAGGGGCAGGTGAACAATTACACTTGATGTTGAATTGGGATCTATGGATGCTGCGGTTTAAATTTTGGATTAAAAATGCACACATTTTCTCCGACGGGAGATGATCTCCGAGTGCTAAACATTTTATGTCTATGAAATAATGCAAAGGATTAACCACCACCCCAGAGGATGGGCAGACTCATCCCAGCGAGCTCACTGCTCACCAATCATAACCTGGCAGGACCCATCAAGCCCCTCAGCTGGCGGGCGGGACCACGTGCCTGGACGGAGAGCCGCAGGTTCCCGGAAAAGGGGAGGCCTAAGAGCTCAGCTGCCTTTGAGACCGTTTTGTCCCTTGCCTGATGTTGGGGTGGAGGTCCCAGATGTGCAGGTGTGACCTGGTCTCTCTCTCCCAGGACAGCGTGGCTCCCGCAGTCTCGGAGGACGCTACCTCTTCAGAATGCGCGCGAGTGACCTGAGTGTCACTGGCTTACAAAATCATGAACACCATCGTGCAGTGACCGTGACCCTGTGCGCCCGGCTGCCCCGATTCCCGCTTCCCGGGCACGTCCCCGAGCCCACCCGGTCTCACCCGGTCCCCGCGCCCGCCGCCCACCTGCCAGGGAAACAAGCACAACGCGCGCGCCGCCAGGAAGCGGCGCTCGAAACTCCGCAGCAAATCTGCTACTTCCACGCTCTCCTCGGGCGCCATCGCGGGGCGGGGCCGGCGTTGCCAGGAGACGGGCGGAAGCCGGGCCTGAGTCTAGGGGAGGCGGGGTTATGGGCGGAGCCAGAACGATGACATCACGGGGCGGAGCTTGAGGGCGGGTGTAAAAAGTGATGTTCCAGTTCTGGAGGCGGGGCTAGAAGCCTCCGTGGAGTAGATTTATGGGTGGGGCTCGGACGCAGGAGGCGGGGCTTGGGGGCGGGGCTGGGGCGGGATGTAAACTGGGAGCCGCTAGGGTCCTTGGAGGCGGGGCTTAGAGAGGGGCCATCGTAAGAATTGGTCCCTCGAAGGCAGATCTGGGGCGGGTTCAAACCGGGGCGCGGTGCTTGGGCGGGACCCAGTGCTCGGGGGCGGGGCCTATCCTGGGCTGGGGGCGGGGCTCCGGGGCGGGCCAATTGTCCTTGGGAGGTGGAGCTTGGGGCGGGGCCGAGATGAGAGCTGGGTTCAGGACGCGCGGCCATGCTTTACATGGGGTGCGGGGTTCGAAGCAGACCCGGGATCGGGGCTGTGGCACGGTGTGGGGCTAGTGAGGTCAGGTCCCAGTCCGAGCTGGGGTCCGGGCTTGCGGGACCAGGTTAGGGCTGGGCTAGGCGGGGTCCCAGGGAAGGACCATTGGTCCCCGTGATCCCTTTCCTGCACGGTCAGGAGGGTCTTCTTGTCAGGGCCACGGGATGGCCGCGTATCCTCGCCCATCAGCGCTGCCCCTCTGAGATTGGGCGGGAAGGAGCACCCTCTCCCCCAGCCTTTGGGTCTGTCACCCAGCAAGTCTCGTTCATCAAGCACTGATTAAGCACTCACTGCATGCCAGGCACTGACAGGCACTGGGGCTCTCACGGCGGCACAAAATGGGCGTGGGTCCTTTTCCTCCAGATGCCTCGGGGGGCAAGTGGACATTGAAATTAATGTAGAGGGACAACAGCAGTATCTGCCACGAAGGCAAGCGAGCACAGGGAAGCTCGCAGGAAAAGAATCCAAAGGAAGAGGGGGACCCAGATGGCACCTGGGTGATGGGTACGGAGGTGGGGCTGGGGAGGATGGAAGGGAAAATTAATTACTCCAGTTCAAAGTTAATGCAAAGGCAGGGCAGCCAGCAACCCACCCTGGCTATGCCTGGGATTTGCCCTGTGTTCAAGATCTGACATTCTTACCCTAGCAAAGCTCTCATCAAACTCTGGAAGAGTCCTGAGCTAATTTGATAAATATGCTCGCAGGGGCCAGATGAAATCTCATTACCTCCTTCAGATGAGAGGCTCTTGAGACCTGCTCAGCTCTGAGCACAAGAGAGGATCAACTCCAGTTGCACGCGAGGCTGGTGTCATGACCAGAGCCAAGTGAGCACAGATTGGACCAGAAAGAAAAAGGTTTGTATTTTATTCCCTGAACGCTGTTGATTTAAATAAATAGAGTGGGCTGTGGTTACTGCCGTAGTTTTACACAGGATTAACAGCTTGTGTATCAGAGAGCTGGCACAATCCTGCTGTCACGGTGTATTTCAAGGCAGCGTCACAGAGACACTGCCCTGTGCCTGGAGCAGCACCAGCTCAGAGCACTAGCTTCAGAGCTGGGTCTAGGGCACTGGCTTGCTTCTGCTGTTTTGATCAGTCCTCTGCCTGTTGTAGACAAGACAAACCAATGAGAATGGTTTTAGGAACACTCCTAAGTCCTGACTCACTCTATTAACATTCACAGTGGCTGTTAATTTCAGTTCCTCTGGGACTAAGGGGCGTGTACAGTCTGGTACTGTAGTACCGTTTGGTGCTTTTCTAAAATCCTAAGGAATCTACACTGGTCCAGCCTTTCCTGATGCCACAGGCAGGAGAAGATCGGGAAAGACCATATGTCTTTCCCTGTATTTGGGGTCCTGTGCACAGAGAAGGTGCTGGATCTGGAGTGAGGGCTCTTGGGAGAGAAAAAGGCCATGTGTCTTAGATCCGAATCTGTGAGGGCCCATGCACTGAAGGAGTTTTAACACCCATGGACCTCACAGGTGTGTTGTGTTCAGGTATAAATGACCCCAGTCTTCACTACTCAAAGCAGAGTAACAATCCCAAGTGTCCATCTGGCAAGAAGCATTAGGACATTCCTGAGTGGCTCTGACTGTTCCAAGAGGGAGCATGTGCACAAACAAGCCTGGTGTGGTGGCTCATGCATGTAATCTCAGCTCCTCCAGAGGTAGGGATTGAAAAGATCTTGATTTGAGGCCAGCCTGGGCAAAAAGTGGGTGGGACCCCATCTTAATCAACAAGCTGCACGTAGCAGTGTGTGCCTGTCACCCCAGCCATACAGGAAGCATTTGTAGGAGGATCTCAGTTCAAGGTTGGTGCAAGGAGAGAGACCCTACCTGAAAAAAAAAATTAAAAGCAAAAAAAGGGCTGGAACCATGACTCAGTGGCAGGGCACCTGTCTAGCAAGCTGGAGGCTCTGAGTTCAAACCCCAGTACTGCAAAAACAAAGCAAAACGAATGGACTTGAGGCTTTCTATAATAGAATAATAACCGAATGCATTTTAGCTCTGTAGGATCGTTGGGGGCCACGGGAGTTCAATCAGCATGTTGACGTTTTTCCTTCCTCTTTGCTATGGCTAATAGTTCCTGTAAAAAAGGACCAATTGATTTCTTCCCAAATGCTGCTTCAGGGTGTAGAGACCTTCATAGGTCATGTTTCAACTTACAGGAAATTTTTAGGACTCAAATATAAATCACATTAAATGTGGACTACAGTGGAATTGAAGGTTAAGTCAAATTCCAATTTACCTTAAGCTGTTCAGGAAAGTCCCCCGGCGATGGAGACAGGTGCTCAGTCAGTATAATAAGGAACACAGGAGGCTCCATCTAACGAGTCAACTGTGGAGACGCAGGGGGAGTTACTTCAGGCCATATGGCTTTAGTTGGTGGCTGGACTAGTGTTGAGGGCTGAATTGCATTCCCTTTAATGGTAAGTTGGGCTGGGCATGGTGGAGCATGTCTATAATCCCAGCTACTCAGGGGGCAGAGGATGGTGAGAGCAAGGCCAGCCCAGGAAAAGTCTAACTCAAAAGTAGACTAAAAGCAAAAGGGCTGGTGGAGTGGCTCAAGTGGTGGAGAGTTTGCCTAGCAAGCATGAGGTTCTGAGTTCAAAGCCCAGTATTTAAGAAAAAAAAAAAAAAAAAGGGGTAAGTTCAAAGTCCTAAGCATAGGTGCTTAGGAATGTGACCCTATTTGGAAATAGGGTCTTGGCAGATGTAATCAAGTTAAGATGAGTCACAGTAGAGGGTTCCTAAATCCCATGCCTGCTGTCCTGTGAAAGAAATCAAAGCCACAGGAGCTGATGCCATGTGACCCTGGAGGCAGAGACTGGAGTGACAGTTACGGGTCAGGGCTGGTAACAGCACTAGAAGCTGGAAGTGAGGCATGTCAGAGGGAGCAGGGGCCTGCCACACCTCCGTTTCGGACCTCCAGCTCCAGCTTTGTGGCTTGAAGCACCAGTTTGTGAAACCCCGCATAATTTTGGGGACCCATTTTGCAAAGTAAGAATGGAGGGCCTTTGTAAAAGGATCAGAAATTTCAAAACATGCTGGGTGTGATAGCTCATGTCTGTGATCCCAGCATTTAGGAGGCTGAGGATCCCAAGTTCGAGGCCAGCCTGGGCTGCATAGCAAGACCTTGTCTCAAAAACCAAGTAACAACAATGAAGCAAAAGCCAAGACAGGCAAGAATTTCAAAATGGTGATGGCAGATTAGCAACCCAAGCCGAGGGCTCTTGTGAGCTCTGGGCCCCGGGGGACTGCCAGTTGTAGGCCCCAGAAGCTGGCCCTAGGGGCTGGGTTCTCAGAGCACTGGAGCCCCAGTGACAGGCAGGAAGTGGCCGCAGGGGTGACTGCAGCGCACAGTGATCAACCACAAAACCCAAAGATCACTCAGTCGTTTCTCCGCTGCACACGAGTGACAGACAGGACCACGAGACCTCCTGCAAGGACACTAGCCCGATGGCTGTGTTTGGGAGCGCCAGCCCCCTCTGTGCCTCTGATCCTGTGTATGTGGGGGAAATCAGGGAGTTTTTAATCGTGGGAGTGTTCTGGGTGCTCCCGGGGCCCAGGAAGTTTCTTGTCCAGACTCGAGTGAATATTAATTATGGAAATGAAACGAATATTCAGTCCCAGAAAGCGCTCACGGCAGAGAACGCTCCAGGGCAAGTCATCGAGAGCCCATTTACTGAATGACCTCTTCGCTAAATGACCCGATCGCCTAATGACCACTCTGCCAGGTGACTGATTTGCTAAAAGCCAGTCTGCTGAAAGTCAGTTTGCTTATCAGTGAGTGTCAAACACCTTCTTTACACCAGGCTCCTGACAGGGACAGGCTAAGCAGGTGCAGTGGAACTCTGAAACTTAGAGCAAAAAAAAAACCCTCAATAATTTGGACAAATGTCCATTCACTTAGTTACTTTTCTGTGTTTATTTAATTACTTTTCTGCAGCTTCCTGAAAGATCCTGGCAGTGGTTTAGAAGGAAAGGTATTTTGTATTTTTTTGAGTTAATTGCTGTAAACATTTGATAAATCACTGGGCACGATTTAAGTCTGTCTTCACAGAAGAAAGATGGCCAATGTTTATAAACAACAAACTAAGGATGCGTGCCACTGATTTCCCAGCGATGACATCATTCTTCCTTGACAGGGTCAGATTTTTGGATTTGAAGCCTGAGCCAAGCATGGTGGATCCTGCCTGTAATCCCAGCATTTGGGAGTCTGAGGCAGGAGGACCATGAGTTCCAGGCCAGCCCAGCAAAAAAGAAATAGCAATCTCATTTCGGACATCTGCCCTCTTTTTCCTCAGGGCGCTTGTTCCTCCCTGGCAGGCAGCTGGTTGCCTGTGGGCTGGCAGAAGAAGGTGGGTGGGTATTCTCTGTCTAGAAGAAAGACTGGACACGAAGTCCTGAGGACCAGAAGGATTACAGCCCAGCTCTATCTACGGAGCGCCTGCCTTTTGCCCAAAAGGAGGATGTAAGA